CGAGTTTACACAGAAGCTGAATACGGTGAAGGGTTTGAGAATGGCTGGAAGACAGCTCGGCGTTTGGCGCTGCATGCTGCCCCTGATATGAACTGGGACCAGGTCGAGGCTTGGTCGATGGACCCTGACAATCCTCGAATCAACGAGGCTAGTCAAGCTGAGATAGACTTCCTGGTCCGTCAAGCCGAAGCCGATGTCAAGGAAGCCGAGGAAGCTGCTAGGGAAGCTGAAGCTGCTGGTCCTGCCTCTTCTTCAGCTGTAGCCGGTCCATCTGGAGTTCCAGAAAATGCTGAAGCATAGGAACTCGGGCAACCGTCTTCTGAGTCTTGCGGATCGACATGCGCTTAAATTGTAAACGCCGCATCAGCTTTTGCCTGTTTCTTTTGTTTCAGCTTGCCTGTACAAACTTTATAATTTGTTTTTGTGTACTTTCGGCAGCTGTGTTTTCCGCTATGTGGGCGGCTGCCGACTTTGAATTTCTATATTAAACATTCTGAACTTGGTATCTGTAGCTCTTACTTTCAATTTTTCTGAGTAGATGAAATAGAATTCCAGTTGTTTGTTGTTTTCCTCTTACTTGCCTATTTTAACAGCTTTGAACTTAATTGCATTTTCTCGAATTTCTTCAAAATTGAGCTAAGTACAGTGCTTCGGCCCGGGAGTCTTCAGCTGATAATCCCTTATTTCTCTATGCCTTGTCCATTTTACTTGGCTTTTTATGAAATTTTTCCAAGTACTAAGAGCTTCAGCTAGGAGCTCAGTATGTGAGTACCTTCTGCCCCCCCCAGAACTTTGAAGATGATGTCTTCAGAGTTCTGAGTGTTATTGCCCTTGATCTTTCTGGTGTGGCTGAATATTTGTTATAGTTCGCGCACTTATGCTTTATTCCTTATATTTTTCCTGGTTTTAATTCATCCGAGGGAATGACTACCTTGGACACAATGCCAGGGCAGCGATCATCTAAAGTACAAGGCATCATTATGCAATACTTCAGAGGTGCAATCGCCACCCGAAATTGACTCACCGAAGCACAGGGCATCACTATGCAATGCTTTGGGCTTTTTATCAATTCCTATTTTTGGCTATGTCTTAGATGAGCCTGTGACCTCTTCGCCGAGAGCAGCAAATCCGTTTGAGGTACAATGCATCATTATGCAATACCTCGAGGTTCTATTTGCTACTCTCATATCGGCAGGTTCTTCGGCTTGCCGAAGTACAGTGCATCACAATGCAATACTTCAGACAGCACCGGGTGTAAACCTTGAATTTTTTCGAAAATCGGCAAAGACAGAAATAAATGAAAGCAAAATGAAATTGTGAATGTACGTACACAGATTTTTACACATGGAATTTTCTAAGTACATCTGCGTTCCAGTGGTTTTTCAACTCAGTTCCATCTAACTGCCGAAGATGATAAGTTCCTGGTTGGAGCTCATCATATATTTCATAAGGCCCTTCCCAGTTAGCTGAGAGTTTTCCATGGATGCGGTTTTTCTGAACAGCGGCAGCATTCCGAAGGACAAGGTCCCCACCCTTGAGGAGTCTTGAGTGGACTCTTCGGTTGTAGAACTTGCTGATTCTCTGTTTGTACATTGCGATTCTGTCCCTTGCCGAATCTCGGATCTCGTCTAAGAAATCGAGGGACTCTTTCATGAGATGCTCATTTTCTTCGGCTGAGAACTGATTGACTCTAAGACTTTCCGAGCCAATTTCCACCATCAAAACGGCTTCGGATCCATACACCAATTCAAAAGGTGAATGCCCCGTGGCCTCTTCTTCAGTTGTCCGAAGTGACTATAGAGTTCCGGGAAGCTCTTCTATCCACTTGGACTTTTGATCTTCAACTCTCTTTTTGAGAGTGTTGAGTATCTGTTTATTTGCAGCTTCGGCCTGGCCATTACTTTGAGGATGGCAGACTGCCGAATATGCCAGCTTTACGCCGAACTGATCCGTGTACCGCCTCAGCGGCAGATTGTCAAATTGCCTTCCATATTCGAAGACAAACACTTTTGGAATGCCGAAGCGCGTGATGATATTCTGCCAAATAAATTTTCTGACAGTTTGCTCAGTTATGTTTGAAGCTGCCTCGGCTTCTATCCATTTGTCTAAGTAGTCGATTTCGACTATCAACCATTTTTCTGATAAGTTGCCTCGGGAAATGGTCCTAGAATATCCAACCCCTATTGAGCGAAAGGGAGTGGATTCAGGATCAGCTGAAGGTCCCTTGAAGGCCGATGAATAACAGATGCGAATTTTTGGCATTTTTTGCATTTCCGCACTAAGTCCTTGGCATCTTAGATCATGGTTGGCCAATAATATCCTGCCCGTAGTGCTTTATGGGCTAAGGTCCTCCCCCCTATGTGGTTTCCACAGATGCCGAAAAGGATCTCCCGAAGGATATAATCCGCATCTGTTGGACCCACACATTTCAGCAGTGGGGCTGAGAAGGATTTTTTCAGTAGCTCTCCCTTGTAGATAATGAACCTTGAGCCAACCCTATTCATTTTTGCGGCTAGGTTCCTATCCTCGGGGAGCGTTCCTTGAAGCTTATAAGCTAAGATGGGGTCCATCCAGCTAGGTTCAGCTTCAGCGCATTGGACCTCAATTTCTTGGTCAATGCCTCTGCTTCGACGCACTTCCACATATACGGACCGATTTAGCTCGGTAAGAGTTGAACTCCCAAGTTTGGATAGTGCATCGGCTTGAGCATTCTGACCCATTGGGATCAGCTCAATTTCAAAAGTTCTCAGCTTCGCTATAACTGATTTTATCTTGGCGAGATAAGAGATCATGGACGACTCCTTTGCCTCATACTCGCCCCGAATCTGATTAGCGACCAGCTGAGAGTCTGTCTTCAAACAGACATGCTCGGCTTCGAGAGCTATGCACAGTTCAAAGCCAGCAACTGCTGCTTTGTATTCTGCTTCGTTGTTAGAAGCCTTAAATGAGAACTTGAGTGCATACTCGAAGTTTCTGCCTTCGGGAGAGGTGATCACCACCCTAGCTCCCGAACCATTTACGGTGGCTGAGCCATCCGTAAACACGGTCCAAGTCCCCTTCCCTTCGTCGAGTGTTTCCTGGTAGGAACACTCAGCTAGGAAGTCTGCTAGGGCTTGGGCCTTGATTGCTGCCCTCGGCTGGTAGCTTATGCTGAACTCAGTGAGCTCGAAGGCCCACTTTGTTAGCCTGCCTAATTTTTCAACCTTGCCGAGGACTTTTTCCAATGGTTGATCTGTTAAGACCACTATTTGATGTGAGTCAAAGTAAGGCCTTAACTTCCGAGCTGCCACTACCACTGCATATGCAACTTTTTCGAGCAGAGGATAGCGCGTTTCAGCATCAGTCAAGGTATGAATGACCAAGTAGATCGGTTGCTGAATCTTTTCTTCTTCCTTCAGCAGCACCGCACTCACTGTAGCAAGGCTAACTGCCACATATAGGTATAAGACTTCTCCCTCAGCTGGCCTCGCCAGTGTCGGAAGGTTTGCCAAGTGTTCCCGAAGCTGCTGGAAGCCTATTTTTTGCTCATCTTCCCATATGAGCTCCTCTGATTTTGGAAATTTCAACGCTTTGAAGAAGGGAAAACCCTTGTCCGAGGCCTTTGAGATGAACCTGGATAAGGCAGTCATCCTCCCAGTAAGACGTTGAATGTCCCTTTTTGTCTTTGGCTCAGGAAGATCCAGAGCCGCTTGAACTTTGGCGGGATTGGCGTCAATCCCCCTCTTGCTGACCATGAAGCCTAGGAATTTCCCAGACCTCACGCCGAAGACACATTTCTTCAGATTCAGCTTCATTTGGTGCTTTCTCAGAGTGGCGAACGTTTCGGCTAGGTCTGCAACATGGTCTTTCGCCTCTTTGCTTTTGACGATGGAATCGTCAACATAGACTTCCATGTTGCGGCCTTTTCGCTCGGCAAACACTTGGTCCACCAGCCTGTGATATGTAGCCCCGACGTTCTTCAGGCCGAAGGGCATCATTCTATAATTATACACCCCGGCGCTTGTAACAAATGTCGTTTTTGCTCTGTCATCGGGGTGCATGAAAATCTGATGGTACCCAGAAAATGCGTCCATGAAGCTGAGCAGAGCATGACCACTTGTCGAGTTAACCAGCTGGTCGATTCTCGGCAAGGGATAGAAGTCCTTCGGACAGGCCTTGTTCAGATCCGTGAAGTCAATGCACATTCTCCAGGTGCCATTAGCTTTTTGAACCATTACTACATTCGCCAGCCATTCAGGGTATTGGCAGGGCTCGATGAACCCTGCGTCTAGAAGTTTTTTGACTTCGGCTGCGATGTCTTGGTTCTTCTGAGCGGAGTAGTTCCGCTTCTTTTGCTTAACTGGCCAACATGTGGGGTCGACATTAAGCTTATGTGAGATGACGTTCGGATCGATTCCCGGCATGTCAGCTGCTGAGAACGCGAACACATCTCTGTTGTCCCGAAGGAGTTTGATTAATTCAACCCGGAGGCCCGGATCGAGCCCTTGTCCGATGCTGACACATTTTTCGGTATCCCCCTCGGTCAACTGTATTGACTCAGTTTGCTCATCTGACTCCATTGCTTTGGAGCCAGACTCTTTTGGTTCAGGTCTACTGTCAATTTCAGCAGACCTTCCTTTCTTCGGCTGGCTTTCGTCCGAATCTTTCGGTTCATCCGAAGAGCTTGCCTTTTCAGTCCCCAAAGATGCTTTCTTTTTTGGGGACCCCTGAGCCGAAGCACTTAGGCCCTTCGGCCTTTTAGTACCTCGCTCTTTTTCTTTTTCTTTTTCTTCCTCACCATCCTTGTCGCTGCGGTGACTCTTGGATGGCTTGAGGGAATTACATTCTCGGGCCTCTCTTTGGCTGCCCAATATTTTTTCGGAGCGTCCCTCGTCTGAAACATAGATCATGGCTTGATGGTATGTCGAGACGACTCCTTGAACATCATGGATGAGGGGTCTCCCCATAATGACGTTATACACTAATAAGGCATCAATGACCAGGAATTCGGCCATGATGCTTCATCTTGCCCGGTCTTGGCCGAGGCTAACGGGAAGAAGAATTTTCCCATCTGGATATGAAGAAGAGTCGTTGAATCCAGTGACCGGATAAGGAACTGGGGTCAAATGCTTGCTCTCCAACTTCAGCTGGTCGAATGCCTTTCGGAAAAGTATATTCGCCCCTCTGCCACCGTCTACCAGTGTCCGATAGACGTTGTGGTTTGCGATGCTTGTCATGATAACCAAAGGGTCATCATGGGGATACACCACCCCCCTGCAGTCTTCGGATGTGAACATCATGTTCGGCACCGGAGACTGCGGTTTCTGGAACTCGGCATGATGAATCTGATGGGTGAGACCCCTCAGATGGCGCTTAAGTGCGTTCCGAGACATGCCACCGAAAATGGTCAAGATGTCAGGATTCCCTCCTTCGGGAGGTCTGTCCCTTTTCCGGTGATAGTCCAGCTCTTGCTGAGAATCTTTCTCAGCTTTCTTTTCTTCGCGGCGTTCCGCGACATATTTCTTTAAATATCCTTTTTGGACCAGCTCTTCGATCTGGTCCTTCAGCTGAAGGCAGTCCTCGGTGCGGTGTCCACGAGATTCATGGAACTCACACCAATGGTCCTTCCCTTTCTTTTGATGCCAAGAAGGAGGTGGCTTCGGCTTTCTGAATCTTCCCTCTTCCCTCGTCGCACTAAAGATCTTAGTACATGGTAAGGTGAGAGGAGTGTAAGATTCAAATTTTTCCAGATAGGGAGCCTTATCCTTCTTCGGCTCTGCGGTCAAGGGAGGTTCTAAGGCTTTTGCCTTCCCTTTCCTTGACCCTGGAACTTCGGCTTACGGTCCTTTTGGCTTCACAAGCCCTGACTGAGATTGTAGCTTTGCCTTGTTCCATTCCTCGGCTCGGATGAATTTATCCGAAGCGTCGAGGGCTTCTTCCAAGGTCTGCAGGGGATGCATGACCATGAAATCAAGAAATTTGCCAGCTTGCAAGCCATTCCATAGTGCGAATACGGCCAGGCTCTGATCCAGACTTGTGATTCTGGACGACTCGTTGCTGAAACGAGTCAAATAGTCTCGGAGACTTTCGTCCTCCGCTTGCTGCAGGCCCCATGAGCTCTGCAGTAGTTTTCTCTCGGCGGTTAGCCGTGGAAAACTTGCTCTTGAACTTATTGGCCAGATCGATCCAGCCCGTTACCGAGCCTTCCTTCAGCCCTTTGGTGATCCAAGATTGGGCAACACCTTTGAGGGTCGTAGGGAAGTATTTGCACCAGGTGGCTTCGGACCTGGGGTTAAGGTGCATATGCCCCTCGTAGGAGACTATGTGGTCCTTCGGATCCGAAGTACCGTCATATGTAATGTGTGCCGGAATTTTAACCGTCGGCACATGTTCCTCCAGTATCAACCTTTGGAATGGGGAACTGGTTGGAACCATTACGGCCTTTCCCTTCTGGCGCGCCGAAGGAACCCTGCTTCTCCCTCTTAGAGAGGTGGATGCAGGGGGTGTCCCCTCGCGTGACATAGAGGGCTGAGACCCTTCTGGGTAGGTGAGGCGACTATGCACCCCTCCTTCTTTGCCACCTAAGCGCTCATGAACGCTTCGGCGGGAGACATTGTGGCTGTCATGATGATCCTCGGAGTTCCGAGCTTTGGAGTTTTCGAGGTGGCCGGAGCCCCTCCTCTGATTCTGCCCGGAACCACCTGGATGCCCAGCCCTTCGGCTGCCTTCCCCTTTCGAGGATGGAGCCTGCTTCTCTCCCTTGGTTCCACTTTTCCTCTTTCGGTCATGCGATCTAGGAGGGGGAGAGGGTGATTTTTTCGTTGATGGGAAGAGTCCTCCCAAAGCATTCATAAAGTCCATGCACACAGCCATGGCCTTCATGACCTCCTCGGTTGACGGACCGGTAGGAGGAGTTGAACGCATGCTAGGTGAAGGATCACGCTTATGAACCTCGCTATCCCTCGGCGAATTCTTATTTTGGTAATCCCGTTGGGAAGGAGATCCTTCACGCATATTCCCTCCCCTCGGGGAGTTGGAAGCGGTCGGTTCAGGCGACGGTGAAGGTGTTCTACCAGTCCTTACCGTTATAAGGCCCATCTTCCTAGCTTTTTTAGAGCTCTTTGCACTCTTAGTCATTTTTGCCTTGGCTAAGATTTGTATGAGCTTTTTTGGCTGAATTTTTGTAAGTATCCCCACAGACGGCGCCAAATTGTTTCGGTTAGAAAACAATGGACCTTCAGCAGGCCCTTCGGATGAGTGGAGATGAAGCCCAATTCGAGTGGTGACCGAATTGAGTAAACTGGCCTCGGGGGTTGTGCCGAGGAAGGCCCCTCCGATGCCGAACTCAGTACGGATGCAAGATAATGAGAGAAAAGCTATGCAAGAGAGTTTGTTGCTTGAGGCATTTAATGTGAATGAATGTAATTGTACAAGAGTGAAAGCTTTTATACCTTGCTCCAATTGGATGGGCTTGAGGGATCAAATGGGCTGCCATTTGATTGGGCCCTGCTATGCTTGACTTGACTAATATGCAATGAGAGTTGAACCTTGCCTTTTAGGCTTTTATTATTTTCATTGTGGACTGGGCCCAAATATAAGTTATTTGGACCCCAAACAATAATAATAATAATAATAATAATAATAATAATAATAATAGTAATAACAATATTAGTAGTAGGAGTAGCGTAGCAGTAGTAGTAGCATGTATATGGTGGTATGTAGTATAACAATAAAATAGTTGTAGTAATTAATCGTAAACAACAACAACAATAATTATAATGATAATAATATTTATAAAAAAAAATTAAAAAAAAAAGAAAAGAAAAAAAAAAGGAGTATGTAGTACGTAAGGTAGTAGTAGTAATATGTGATTGGAATGAAAACAAAACATCAATAATAATAATGATAATAATATTAATAATAACATGAATAGTAGTAGTACTTATATTAGTAGTAGTAGCTAGTAATTAGTATTAACTAGTGGAAATCAAATTTAAGAAATGTAGTTATAGGAAGCAATAATAATTAAGAGGAATGAGGAGTAGGTGGCGTCATCTTTGGTGGTCGATGACTGCCGGTAGGGCGGTGGCCAGATGGCGGCGGGTGATGCTCATGATGAAGCTCACTGCCAAAAATGAAAGCTAAAAGAAGGTGAAAATGGACGAGGAAGGAGAAAGGAGGAGAAGAGAGCTTGGGAAAGAAGATGGAGTAGCCACAATGGCCTCCACGCATGGCTATTTATAGCTCCAACTCCGGCATTATAACAACCATATTCATTTATGGTGCTGGCCTAATAAATGCAGCTGGCCCAAGGAGTAGTATTAAATAAGGGTCGACTTTGATTACGGAAGAAGAAATAATTTGGTAGTCGGTAGTTTGACTTGGAAGCAAAATACTGAAGGTTGAAAATCCAACAACTTGACTTGACTCGAATAATTAAATCCTTTATAAAGCGTAATTATAATAAAATTATCTTTGTAATATCATATATTGACTTAAATAAATAATTTTGTGTAATAATAGAATATAATATTAAAATATTTCGGAAAAATCCATAATTATTTATTAGTCAACGTGTTTAAAATACAAGGTATTACAAATATCTCAAATTTCATTTGTTAATTTTGCTTACATGACAATTGAATTTTTAAATTCTAAAATAAAATGTAACTCTCCTTTTTTATTGGTCAAAATCATACATATGTTACATGGTGCTTTAATAACTCTTGAAAGACGTCTCCTTTATATATATATATATATATAGAGTGTGGATCATGTGAAAACAAGCCTATAGCTAAAAACATGAAAACGGACAATCAAGACCGTAGATTATGACCCATCAAATCTCACGGCTGAGATTAAAACACATATCCTCCCAAAAACCCCCAACCCACCGTCCAAAATTTTCTCTCTCCTCAAACTTGCAAACCTCTTGTCTTTCTCTCTCCTCAAATCCCAAAATTGAACACAAATTGCTGGAAATTGAAGAATTTTTGTTCAAATTTCGCATAAACAACCTAAATTGCTCAAATCAGGTACGTTTTTTTTTTCCGATTTTGTTCAAATTTTCATGAAAAACGCATGATGTTCAACTAGATTTTGCGATTTTTCAATTTGATTTTTCCGATTTTAATTTTTGCGATTTTTGAGATTTGATTTATGCGATTTTCAGATTTTTAATTTTCGATTTTATTTGGCAATTTTATCAAATTTTTTTCCTGCGAGTTTGTTCGATTTCTTGTGCGATTTGCGTGTTTTGTTCATCAATTTTGTTTGATTTCTAGTGCGATTTTTCGACTTTTTCTCATCAAATTTGAATATTCTTTTTTCATAATTTGATTAGATTTCAGATGTTTAATTTTCGATATCATTTGGCAATTTTATCAATTTTTTTTTTCTGCGATTTTGTTCGATTTCTGTGCGATTTTGTGTGTTTTGTTAATCAATTTTGTTCGATTTCCACTGCGAGTTTGCGACTTAGGTCATCAATTTTTTCGACTTTTTTTTTTATCTATTTTGTTCGATTTTGTTTAATTTTACGATTTCCTGTTCGATTTTGTTCAATTTTGTTCGATTTCCTGTTTGATTTTGCTTGATTTTTGTTCGTTTTCATTTGTGATTTTTGTTCAATTTCATGTTCTAAATTTTCCTTATCAATATTTTGCTAACAATGACCTTTTCCGTTTTCATTTGTGATTGCAGACAACTGCATAAAGACTGCGTTGCAGGATACAAGGAGCTTCACCATGGGATGCATTTTGATGCCTTCACAAATGAAATTGGTTTAAGGAGTTTTATGCAGAAAGCGATATACTGCTTCATATGGTGTTTTAGGAGTATATGGTAAAATATTAAGCAATATACTGATGTTAGTCATGTTACATGCTTATTGCTGAACTTATGCTCTCTAATCTTTTTGTTCATTGATTCCAATTGGAAGATAAAAATTATGATTTTTTTCGCTTGGTTGCTTTAGTGATGCAAACTTTGGATGTCCTTTTCCCCTTTATTTGGATGTTTGATTGGTTTATCTTCACTCATTGGAGCAGTTGACTGTGGTTTGTTAAAAGAATGTGTTATGTTATTACTGGAATGATCTTTCTGGATTTATGCCCAGGGGATAAACATTATTTTTGTAAAGGATTGTGCCACCACCGGGATTCCTTATGGCTGTGTCAGCTACTGGATCTTCTAAGGGAGGAGTATTAGACAGACTTGTAATTGAGAAAACCACCCCTGGACGTGAATCTGAGTTTGATCTGAGGTGCTAATACTAATAATACCTTCCTTTTATCTTTGATAACATTAGAAATGCTTCTAACACATAAATGGAGTTTATCTGCAAGTTTCACATCTTTATTCTTAGCATCAATTTAACTGATATAGAGGCACCAACTGTGTAGAAGTTAGATAGGTGAGCCTGGAACTACTTTAGCACCATATCATTTTCTGTCGCTAGGCCTACAATTACTGCTGTTATGGATTTTATGTGTGGTATCAAATGTTGAAGAAGCAAGATATGAAACTGGCAGTGACAGTAAATCAATAGACACTCATCAACAACGGTGTTGATCCATCAACTTCTGTTGCACTGTCTGTTTGCCAAAGGTCTTTTAAGAAGGGGGTAGTTTAGAGTAATTTTGAGCTTGGTCTTGAATATGGCATGTGTACAAATAGTTCTTTTGATGGAGGATAAAACTAAGCTCACCACTTTGTCGCAAGATAATCTTCTTACTGTTGTTGAGCTTCACCTGATCTTACCTCTTACTTTGATATTTAATTATGTTGTGTATGTTGCTTTCGTTCTTTTGAAATTTAGTTTAGCTGATCTGAAGTTGTTCTGCTTAGGTGTTTCCTTCTTCGTTGAGTTTCAAGGCTGCCATAGGTAATCTGAGTATACATGATGACAATATTTCTCCGGAGCTCCTATAATCTTAGGGCCTGTGTCATGAGAACCTGGGAGGAG